GAGTTGAAAAACCGGTTAGTATCAAAATAACAACAACAAAAAATCCTTGGGGCACTCAAAATTTACTGCCTGCAACAGCAAGTCTTTGACATATTACAACTGAATTTGTCTAAACAGCAACACAACAATTTTCCCCTTTTTTTCCCCAAATATCCTTTCATTAGACTAAGAAATGCATTTTTTTTGTCTGCAAATATAATCATAGAATCACAGAATTGTTTATGTTGGAAAAGACCTCTAAGATCATTGAGTCTGACCACTAACCCAGCACTGTCAAGTCCACCACCAGATCACGTCCTTAAGTGCCATATCTACATGTCCTCTCAATACCTCCACAGCTGCTGACTTCAACGCTTCCCTGGGCAGCCTGTTCCAATTCAGGTAGCTATAGAGAGCAATAAAGGTCGTCCCTGAGTCTCCTTTCCTCCAGACTAAACACCCCCAGCTCCCTCAGCTGCTCCTCATAAGACTTGTGCACCAGACCCTTCACCATCTCTGCTCCCCTTTTCTGGACACACTCCAGCACCTCAATGTCTTTCTTTTAGTAGGAGCTCAATGATACACACGATACGTATCTTGTAATTTGATGACACTCAAGGAAAAGGTATTGATGAGGCTGAAAATGCTACAGCCCAGTTTACCAGTGTCAGGCACGTTTTCTAATCGTAGCACACTTGCACTGAGCACAAACTGCAGCTGCAGCCACACTGCAGAAACATATGTAGTTTGCACGAGATGTATCTGCATATATTCTTAAGCTGCACTTGACCTTATGGCACAGCAATAGCCAATATAGAGTTGAGAGCACTTGAGCCCTTTAAAGCTTTCACCCTTACAGCGCCCTGAGGGGTATGGAAAATCGACACCACGATCAGCAAACACCAGTGAATGGCCAGGGACAACACTGTTACTTAGAAATAGTTCCATTTTATCAGCCAACTTGAAAAAGAAAAGAATGTGAACCCTTGGAATAACTTTTTATTGTGATACCAGTTTTCCATCCTCCTTTTATTTTTAATCATGAGTAGGTGGATTTATGTAGGATAAAAGAATAAACTGAGTCCTGACTTGCTCTCCTTGAAGTATAACCTAAGTCTACAGAGTAGCACTGGGTCGGACAGAAATTGGGCCAGAGTGCATCTAAGAACTGAACTTCATTTGTATAAACAAACAAGCTTTATTTACAGTATTCCTTCATAAAATCCCAGGCTTCAAGTCTGCGTGTTCTTTAAAGACTCCATTTATGTACGCTTGAATGCCTATTTAAGCAAAAACCAAGAGAGCTTTCCCATGGAAACCGCAGAGATGTTTTACTTCACACGTACACCACAAACAAGGCTGCTAACTTTCCATAATTTACTGTATTTTCTTAGGCTTGCCATTGTATTTTAGGACCAAATCTTCTGGAGAAGCTGCTTACGCAGGAGGCCACAGACATATAAATAAATGACCTAAAAGAGGCAAAGCTATGAACTGAGAGGAAACGGCATCTCGGCAGCTTGTAAGAAAATTTTAGTATTTTTGGTTTTCCTGTTTCTAGCTGAAGGAACGGGTTAAAGTTTTGTGTTTCATTGAGAAGCAAGCAATCTGGAGTCAACTGGAATCACATTATTAAATCAGGACTTGATTCATCCCTTAGAATTAAATCAATCCACAGGGCAATCCCTGGGCTAAGACCATAGCAAGCTTCAGTTACCTATCTCTCAGCAAGGAATCTAAGTCAGTGGGCCTCAAGGGAACCCAGTGATTCTACAATCTGCTTAGGAGGACACAGAGAAAGAGAGCTTGACTTTGTGGACTTTATCAGCCAGACACAAATCAGTCCAATTACTTCAGCAAGAACATGAGCAGTTTGTGAATAAAAAAGTTCCAGCTAAACTGATATTCTGATTTGAGAATTTGCCTTTTAGATTCAGGTGATATGTCTCTAAGTGTAAATGCATACAATCTAATACTGCTGTATGTATGCATTTTAGAGCAGTAATTTTGCTCCAACTTATAGTTACTACCAATTGTCTCAAGGCTACAGCAAAGGGTTAAGTTTTAACTTCAAAAGCAATCCCTACTTCTGCTGGGGGCCACAAAGATAAGCAAGGATACCAAGACTTTCAAGTTTAGTCCCTTCGCTGAAGGAATTGGATGGGCTTACCTGTTTGGAAAAAAAAACCAAACCAAAACAACATCCCTGGGAGAAGGCTGGGCACAGAATCAAAGTCCCTTTGGCATGAACTTATGACAACTCTGCCCATGAATACGCAGTCTGTGTTGAGTTGCTGAAAACAGAGACAGGGCTTGCCAAAACTGAGGATGAGGAAATCTCTGACTGATGCTATTTCAAAGTTGGTGGTGCTTCTATAGTTGGTGCAAGAGCAAGCAAAAGCTACCCCTGATGGCATCTTTATCTACAGTAAGGAAAATGGTGTACACTGATTCCTGAAGTGTGCAAGAAGAAGAGCAGAGAATTTGGTCAGATACCGGAAGGTCAAAGTGGGAGATCCTGTGGTGGTAGAGTAGTGGCCAGGAAGATAAACAGAGATGTTTTGCCTCAGAGAATGCCAAGCACTTGGGAGGCCATTTGGCTAAGAGGGAAAAAGACTATATATAAGCAAAACCTAATTGACAGTATTTAGAAACACAAACAAGCTGTCTCTGACTTAACCAGGGCTAAATTTACTTCAGCTGAGCAGAATCACAATTGTTTCTAGAGGGTAAATCATGTATCCTTCTTTTCTGTTTTTATTTGGGAAGTTTTGACATGGTGTTTGAAATAATACATTTAATTAGAACCCTTTCCTATGTATCAACATATATTCCCATACACTTGATCCATAACATGTAAAAATAAAGGAGAATGAAAAGTTATTTGGTTGTGTTGAACCACACTATTCTAAGAAGCCCAAGCAAATATTTTAGACACTGTTTACATAAGATGCTCAATCGTGTTAAAAATCTTTCTTGAAATACGCTCACACGTATCATAACATCATACTTTTCTTGATACAGGTTTATTTATGGCACCTACTCAGGAATCACTGGTTGTTCCTGCAAGCAAAGCGCTTTTAAGTAGAGCAGCTTCTCCGTCTCTTTGCAGCTCAATGGTAGCTATTTCAGACACGGCAGCGTCGCCGCCTGCCCCCGCTTCTCATCATCCCTCTCAGATTACGTAGCCAGGGTAAAACTTAGATGCAGAGCCTTGAACGTAAGAGTGAATAACCGCACCAAACATACATGTGATAGTAAGTCTACACATTTAGTGCTTCCTAAAAGAACTGTTAGAATACTTCTAAATTTCAAGTGCAGGGCAGAGAAGTCCATTTGTATACACCCACTCGTAAGTGAATGCACTTAGCAGATAGCACATAGGTACTTCTAAGTTTTCAGCTGCAAAAGAAATGCGTTTTGTAGCACGGTCATAAAAAAGATGCAGTAATGCTTCCAGTTATTGTTTCATTTTTTTTTGTTTGTTTTTAATAAGCAAAATACTCTTAATATTCTGCTAGAGAAAAGAATAAAGTCCACAAGAAAGATCAAGAAATTGCACTCCTATAAACAGTATAGTGGCAAAACCAAATAGTAGCAAAAAAATTCTACTACAATACATCATAATCCAAATCAAACGTTACTTGATGTTGTTAATAAAATTTAAATTCGTATAAAAACCTACAAATGCTTCAGTCAATTGTTTGCTTCCGTAATTTCCAAACTACATACATTTAATTTACCCAGCTTGAACTACTTTCGTTTTAACTCTTACATACGCATATTTGCTGATTTAATTGAATCTTCTGACTGTCATTCAAAATGTTCATCCCAATATGCCTTGTTATTTATGCAGCTTGATGTCTTTGCATGACAAACAACTGGTAATCAGCCTGCTTAAATCTCTAGTTGTTCTAACATTTTTGCACCTTGCAAAACTGAAATATTGCAGCAAGGCTGTTGCCTATATTACTCCATTCAGGTAAAATCATAGAATCATAGAACGTTGAGGGGTTGGAAAGGACCTTACAGATCATCTAGTCCCTGGACAGGGACACCTGCCACTAGACCACGTTGCTCAAGGCCTTATTCAACTCGTCCTTGAACACTGCCAGAGTTGGGGCGCCCACAACCTCCCTGAGCAACCTGTTGCAGTGTCTCACCACCCCCACAGCAAAAAATGTCTTCCTAACATGCAACCTAAATTTCCCCTCCTTCAATTTATATCTACTACTCCTTATCCTATCCCAACAGTTCCTAAATCTGTTCTGCTTCATGAGAAGATGGGGATAATATCTAGCTGCCCATGGCAGCTTGCCCTTGCAACAGAACCACTCTGGGGGGGCTTTTGTGTCATCTTGACCTAAGGGGGATACTTAGCCTCAAGTGGTGTGTCTCCAGACTGAAACAGTGCCTTGCAGAAAAACTGCAGAGGAAAGAATCAAAGATTCTCTCTTTCCAGCCAACAAAAAAAGCAGTACAGAAAGAGATATTCAGACTTTCAGATAACTTTCTCAAGACCACATAGGAATGCCTCCTATGCTGGATTGGTGGTTTGCTCTGCCTCCTCCTGGTCTTGCATGTCTTTTTGAAACAGCCTAATTCCATATCTTTCAGGTTTTTCTTCCTTGCTTTCTCCATCTCACATGCTTCCCTTCAGGGTCCCCTCAACACCCACACAAACCCAGAGAGTTACCTTGACTGACTGCTCCATGCAGATTACTCCTGCTGGGGGCTATCTCGTCTTCTCAGACTGGAAGCTCTTTAGAGCAGAGACTGTCACCACTCTGTGCCCATACAATGCCTAGCAGAAAGAGTCTTCTTTTGATCAGTAATGTAATAAGCATGATTAGCAAAGTATCTGTCTACAGTCATCTATGGGAATGCCAGGACTATATGAGAACTAAAACAGGTTCAGCTTTTGTAACGCTGGAAATGTATATTTACATCCATGAAATTTCGACCCAGAGAAGACCATGTAGCAAATGGAATATTTAGGAGGAAACACCAAGCTCACTTACTTTGCTCTCTTGGCCATTTCATTGCCATCCCAGCGGGGGCTGTATGGGTAATTCTTCTGGGCCTGGGAGTACAGCTGGCCACTGTTAGTGAAGTGGTAGACGGACTGAAACGTTAGGGTTGGTTGGTCTCGAGGAAAGTACAGGGGTAGGTCAACTGAAATTCAAAAAGAAAAAAAAGTCATAAAAATACACCATTGCATTTTGCCTCTTTTTTTTTTTAAACTGGGAATATATCAGATCTTTCTATTGGTTTGAAGGTGACAGAGAAAAAGAAATTGATGATTAGTTCTAAAACATATTTCTGTATTTCTTGCAAGTAGTGATTCCAACCTATTGCTGTGGGGGATGTTTTGCTTCATCAAAACACTTTTCTAAAGTACATAATTAAAAAAAGTTTAGCTAGCTTATTGCTATGTAATCATAAAATTTAAACCGTGACTATTTTGTTATAAAAATAAGTTATTTTCCTTTAATAATGAATTTTTCCCTTTCACAAATGCTCAAAATAAATTCAGTTTATGCTTTCCACTCAAGAAACAAATTTCTCTTTATCTGCTTTAGTCAATTCATTTTAGTATCCCCGTGGACATCAAAAGCTTTATCATTCTCATTTTACAGCTGTCTAAGTCCTAAAGTGGTTACTTGATAAAAAATGTAGAAAGATTCAGTCACATGAGCTGGAAAAGATTTCAACTTGCCGTCATCTGCTAGACAAAAAAACACCCACAAAACTAAAAACACACTGCAAAGTCATTGATACCCAAAATATCTCACTAAAAATAAAAATCAGAACCTCTTAGTTCCCTTCCCTTTGCTTATCGCTGTCTCATGATTAGCTAGGTCTGGCAGAACAATAAAATAGTCTACAACAGTTAGAAACTGGTATATATTTTCATGGTCCGAAACCATTTTTTAACTTTTTTAGAATTATAGTTTATATTTTCTTGGTCTACTTTTAATTTCAGGAGGCTTCGGAAATCTGTAGCTAAATTGAGTTATGACAACAGACTTGAATTACTTATCCTAAATGTCTAACACCAAAATTAACAGCAGAATGTGCATTTCATTTAAAGGTGTAGACTTCATTTATAAAGCATCTATGACTGTATTTTTGTTATCCTCCAAATCACAATTCCCTAACTCCGCACAAGAAATGAACACTGCAATAGATTTGTATTTTAAATACTTCCTGGAGCAGAGATTCCAGCACTTCCTACGAAATCTCTGCTCAGAGGCTGAGATCTCCAATTTTCAAATTCCATGCTATCATCCTGCTAACTCCTTCATTTTTCAGCTTTTCTAATCCCATCTATGTACTCGGATATGCATCAGCCACACCACAGCTCCCTTTTCCCTAAATTACCCTCAAAGCTCTACGAGTAAAAGTCTTTGTGGCCATCGAGTGCAGAAACCCAAATGTAACAGTCCAGCTGTAGTCTCAAAATACAACAAATCACCGTGGAGAACAGCACTTGCTCAGTTCATGACCGAGTGTCTGAGCCACACGTGACACCTCCCAGAGTCCTGGTGACTCAGCCCACACAGCAGCTTCCAGCAGATACTTAAGTGGTAATGACGTGGGCAGAGTTCTGCTAATTTGAGGGCAGATCGCTGCTTTAACAAAGGTGAGATTCAAAGATTGCTCTGTCAAATTGCTCTTTATAACATGATTACTAAATAACAGCCCTGAAAAACATTGGTGTAACGTGACCATCTATCAGCAAGCAAGCTGTCTCCTCCCGTCACAAACGGTGTGTGTGCACCTCAGATTCTGAAGGACTACGCCGTGGAAAAGAGTAATAGAAACTAGGAGACTGGTTCTCTTTTAATGTTATAAGCATACCACTTCAGCTGTGAGTGCTTAAACTCTGTTCCTCTAGTGCATCTTTTTTCCTTCTTAAGAACAAACACCTTAACAGAAAAAAACTTGTATACTTTTGTATTTTATCACCGTGTGACAGGAGTAACAAGGTTTAGCAGAGCATTCAAGTAAAACTCCTTATGCTTTTTAGTTGAGAATTTCTAACTTTCATTAACTTTCCTTTGAAAAATCTATCTACGTAACAGAGGCAAGCAGCAAAACATTTCTTCCTGTTACCTAAAACTCAAGGTTTGTTCGTAAGACAAATTATCTAGAAGTGGAAATGGTGTTTAAATGGATAGTCAAGGCAGTGCTCTCCCTACAGTGGTTCTTCCACTTGTTATGAGAAGGTACCACCAAAATATAACAGAAGTTTTCTTCTATTAACCAAAACCTGTATAGGAATTTTCAGGAATTACTTAGTTTATAAGTAATAAGATCAGATAATAAAATTAGATTCAAAATTGTACATTCCACATCTGGCCAACAGCAGTATCATCCTGAACTACAAGTAGAGCTTTGAAAAATTTGACCAGCCTTTGATTTCTAATACTACCCTTCACCTAAAATTGCCAAACTCTCAGTTTTCTAACCCAAGTGTCTCCTTAATACAAGGTGTGAGATGAACCCAGACCAAGTGAAAAAACCTGACCCTAATTCTGGAACACAACCACACCTAAATAACCAGTAAACAGGAAACAGCCTTGAGTTGCAAAGTGTTATACATATCTCAAGGCAGCCAGCTATTATTTCAGCAGTAGGAAGGGAAGGCAAGAACTTGCTTCTGTCGCAGTAGATGCTCATCCATTGATACTGCTGGTGCACAGATTGCAAAAAGTAAGCAAATACCATCAGTAACTAGTGCTAGGAAGGTGTGTTGGAGATAACATGTCAAATTCTGCTCACAGTCACACAGGTTGCTAAAGAAAATTTTTCTATTTACTTGGTCATGTATAGCAGCCTGACTCTCAATCTGTGCATTGATACACAGTCAGATCTGCCTTCATACAATACATAAGGTGGCAAAGCTATTATTGCAATTACATCTGAGACAACATTTACACTTTGCCATGAAAAATGCAAGAGAGTTAAAAACAACACAGCAGTTCTGTAAATCAACACCTGAGCTAGGCAAACTGTAAAAGCCTGCACTGGTTTGGCATGCTAGTCTCCTAAGAACTACAAAAACGTATTCGTGTTGAATTCAAGTACTATTTCCAAATAACAGCTGACTCACAAAGTACCCTGGTGATATGTCTGCAGAAAATAAGCAGATGACTCATGTCTGTAAATTCCTGAAAGTACCAATAGACCCCTTGCTTAGTCATCTTTTGCTTGGATGCTGGGTTCACGAGCTCTGTAAACTATAATGAGGGATCTAGCTCTTAGTAGGACTCTCTCTCCCTTTTTTCCTCTCTTCTAAACAGTGCAAATTATCTCCCTAAAAATAACTTCATCTGCGTAAGTGAGTCACTTCAACTAGCAAGCTTGTACAAGTCATGCAGTTAAGCAGTAATATTTTGTTATGAAGGTAAAAATCTTGCTGTCAAACTCAGATTTAAAATGAAAATTATGTCAGAGGAAGTCCCATTTGCCCCTTCTCTCACAGAAATAGAAACATTTCCTTTGGAAAATTTAAACAATTAGCTCATTCAGGAAAGTAAAGCTTTCTAATTTAGTTCCATGCTCAAAGTAATTTAATCCTGATGATTTCTTACTTTGGCTTTCCTAAGCATCACGCTGTTAACGTAAGAGGAACTCAGAGAAGCAGCCTGGGGAAAGAAGCCAATACCATAGTAAAGCACTGCTTTATCCTATATTACAATTTACAGATTGGTTTTTAAAAGTCAATTTTTAGACAGTCATAGTGTGGGGAAAATCATGTCCTTTATGCAAGCTCTACATGAGCAGAACTCGGAGGGCTGTTTATGGGTAATTAAGCATTGAGTAAATTCTTCGGTGATTGAACCCTAATTTTCCCACACAGTTCATAAGAAAGCCAAAGAAAAAGGACTTGCTTGTTGAGAATGAGTCATGTTGCAAAGAAACTTAATTACAGTTTATAAATAGTTGAAGTTGCTCTCTTTTTGAAACATAAGAAACTATCTAGAAGTAACACCCAAATTTGCTTCTCTTGACTTAGTTAGCATTTAATGCATACATATATTCAAAACATAGTTATCTTAAAGCCAAAATCTTGGTTCATTAATAACTAAAAAACTGTTCAATGATTCCATAAGGTTTAATTGTTCATTTTCTTAAAAAACAACAATCTGAGATCTGGAACAGGTTAGCTAGTTTGTTAAGCTTATGCCAACAACTACAGAGTTGATTTTGACTGTCTTACTAACTCTAAAATATCATCTTTAGCATCTAACTTTACAACTTTTTAAACAGGATATGAAACATGGAAGGAATGTCTTGGCAAAAGTATGTACCAGTGCTGCTACAGGATTTCTGAAGCAAAAATGCTCAGAAGAAAAGGGCAGGTTTATCACAGAGTTTACCTCCCCACTTTGAAGTACAGGAGAGAAGAGATGGGAAAATAAAACCATACTTGGAATGCATGCTGACCATTAAAATATTTCAAAACACTTAGGTGGCAATATTTAGAACATTTCCATATACTGTTCCCCTGTTCTACAGAAAAGGTTTATCCATCCTTTGTATGGCACTGGAAAATCTAGGTATTTGTTTTCACAAAAGTCAACATTTACTCACTGAATGTTGCACACCATTTTAATGCTTGGATGCTACTATATTAGTTATCTTATTAACCTGTATTGTAAGGATGCTTGAATCTGCTGCAGTTTATTGCACCTGAAATTTGTTTTGCACTCATAAACACTGGCTGATCTGGATATTTTACTGCTGAGACTTCTACTTGACAAGATTTCATGGCCTGCACAACCTTAGTTCAATCTATAATTGCTTTATGGAGCAGCCTTCAAACAGAAGATAACACAGCTTCATTTCTAGTTCAGTTCCTACACTGGACAGAGCTGGCCAAAGGAGACACTGTTCTGTCTTGCCCCATCTGACAGACTCCATCCCTCTGTATTTATTTCCTGCTCAACACTGAAGCCTTGCTCCAATTAAACGTGTTCATTTCTGCATAAGCTTTTCAATGCAATGATTCTAATCATCATAAGAATGATGTTAGCTACATAAAATATTTCAAAAACTGTTTCTCAGCACCTTCATGAGTTGAGGGGTTCTTTAGGACCAGGAATGAAGGAACAAGGAAAGGACAGCAACATGTCTACTGATGCTGAGTGCCAGCCTGTGGGACC